CCCATAAGTGTCCCACCCTTGTGACCCCTTTCTTCACCCATCCATTCCACGGACAATCTGAGATGAGCAACACCCGCCCCTGCCGGTCCTTTATCCAACGGTTTCCGAAGAGCGGTTGGCGGGCGACTTCCTCCCACCTTTCGGGGAATGGCCTATCCGGGAGCGGGAGCCGCCGCCAATCTTTAATTAGATTGGCCCAAAATCCATCTTTTCGCAGGTCCTGGCGGGCTACGGCGCGATCTGAGTGTGGTTGGGGCCGGGTGGGGGGTCTGGGAATTGCCGTTGCTAGTTGGACCTCACCCCTGCTCCCAAATTCACAGCAACCTCATCCCTCCTTGCTTCCCCCTTCCCMCCYCCCCCCCCCCCCCAACGATTCGTGGTGTGCGCATCGCTTTTGAGGCACTTCGTCTTCCACAATTTACTGATACTATGATTGTTGAAGGTATGTCACTCCTGAACCCCGGTCAAGAGCAGGGGCAGGGGGGAACAGGGGTGGATGAGTGGTTGCTTTTCGTTGGGTCGTTGATTGTTTAATTCAAGCCAACACATTTCTGCAAACGAGTATGAAAATAACATTTTGTTTTCTTTGTTGCAGGAGTGTGTTACACTTTTGCTGTTGTGTCGAGTTAGTTCTTCTTCTCTTCTTCAGATGGTTATACACTTCATTCTTCCTCTGCCCTTTCTCGCACGTGCTGTGTGACCCCCCCCATCTCTCTCTCTCTCTCTCTCTCTCTCTCTCTCTCTCTCTCTCTCTCTCTCTCTCTCTCTCTCTCTCTCCCTTATCTATCTACCTGTCAGTCTATCTATCTACATCTTTATCTCTCTTTCTCCCACCTTGATTACCTTCCAGTTTTCGACATGGTTCGCGGCGGTGGTGCGAGGTGACCGACTAACAGGACGGGTCGTTGCCGCTGCAAGAGAAATCCTCTGTATAAGGCGGCCCGAGACAGGAGGAAGATTGTTGAGGGTATGGACTGCACAGGGGGAAGGTGTACTGAAGTGCGAGTGGGAGATCGAAGTGCTGCTCGAATCCGAAGAGGGAAAGACAGTGGAACAGGAGAAGGACAGAGAGACAAATATCGAGGTGGAGCCGTACCCGGTGAGGGAGAGGGAGACTCCTAGGGAAGTGGAAGAGGAGTCAAAGAGGGAAAGGGAGAGGCGGCAAAGGATTTCTCCCTCTTAAGTTAGAAAAAGAGAGTTGGCTTGCCCTGGATATGATGAGAACGATAGAAAGGAAATGGGGTGCAGGCAATGGCACACACAGAAGCGCTGCAGCGTTGAGCTACATCGAGTGAGTCCATAAAAGATGAAAGGTGAAGAGGGAAGCTTGCAACTGGTGACGGCGGTTTGTGAATGTGGAAGACAGAATAACAGACTCTTGAGGGATGAGGTAGATGGCAGCAATGATTTGTGTAGATAGTTGACATGTGGCACTCGTCCCTTCGAAGGCGCCAAGTCCTTGAAAATGCTTAAGAGACGCAGACACAGCAAACTGCCGCGTGGCAATTCCGCTTGAAGCAGTCTCTATTTGTCTGTCTGCCTGTTTGTCTGTCTGTTTGTCTTTCTCTTCTCTCTCTCTCTCTCTCTCTCTC